GTCTTCTTGACTCTGTCCTTATTCCAAGCCAAGATGGGGAGAAGAGAGTGAAGTGGATGCTGCGCAGGTATACCCTCACTATAAACTCGTTCACGTGCAAGTCACCGTGCTTGCTTTATCTTGCTGTGGAGCACGCGGTGGGCATCGTCGAATGCGGCGGTCGAACTGTCCGTCTGAGTAGCATGGCCGACAAAGACAAGGGCGACTGGACTGACCATTTCTGGCTTATTAGCCGTCGCTATTCAGGCATGCCCAAGCCAGAGGCCTTCAACCCCTGGGGCTCGATCCTGCGACCTGTTGGTTAGAAGTCAAACGCCCTAACCACGGAACCACGCAGTAATCTGTTCAAAAGTCGACATCACACATCACTCTGGTCACGAGCACGTCTCGTTGGTCACACTTCCGAACAAGGGCACAGTCTATCAGTCGACGGTGACGCGAGCAAGGGCGCACCCAAGTCGTCTTCTTCCGATTCAGAAGACGAAGGAGGACGTTGGTTAGGAAAAGACTGTTCGGTACGAGGTGGAGGCCACTGCTGTTGCCGTTGCCGATTCCTTGACAGTCGGCGCGAACATGAATTAACCAAAAACGATCAGTTTGTTTGCGTTTTTCACAAGCCATTATAGGGCGTACAGGTCTTCCCAGAACTTATTTTTCGCGTCATCGGATCCGAACACTGGGGAGGGCATTCACGAAAGATTTAATTAGAAAATGTACTTTTACGAGTAAGCATCGACAGATAATTCCGTCTCACGTTAAGATCCATGACTCAGTTTAGACCAAACTGTTAAGGGCGAGAAAGACTTCGCTCGTGACCGTTTGCCTGTGTTTTGGCGCAACGCGTTGTTAGGGTTAACTAACACCGCCTTAAACGAAATTGAATTGGATGAAGGTTGCAAAACACATATTCAAGTGATTGATCATAAAAAGTCACACAAAAATGAGAGATATGGCAAAATACTCACGAAGAGCTCTCAGGGGACTAGATGTCAGGTAGGATTAGGACGACATTCTGACTTAGGCATATAGTCGCTTGCCAAAGCCAACCCTGCATTCATAATGGAATTGAAAAGGTGGACATGATTCCGTGCAAACACATCAAATCCGAAGTTTGGCCTCTTGCGAAGGTTTACCACCATGCTGGATAGGGCGGAGGCTAGAGTAAACAAAAAGAATTATTTGCTAAACCAGGAGGCGGAGCACTCGGCGACACCACAAATGATCTGCAGGACGATTTCAGAAGAGGAAAACTTTCCTTTTATCGCTTTTGGAGACGGAAGAACGACCGCACTAAAACCCAACCGGCTAAAATTACACGCCCGAACTGCACATACGTCCGTCAAAGGCGCAAAACGTACACGTAGGCTAAGAGCGGTGGCGACGTAAACTATCCGCGTAAAGGAGCTATAAATCGGCATACAAAACGGCATTTACCGAGTCATTACAGATTGTACACTGTGTGGGGTTTTTGCTTTTCTGTCCGAAGTTTTAGTTAACAAGAGATCAGTTGTCTCTTTGATAATAATAAAAAGTGTTACCGTGATTAAATGCGGGAGTAATCAATAAGCACAAAGACAGTGGGGTCGGTTCAATTTGAACTCTTATCTTTTAGTTTCCACTCACAGCTGGACGCTTTTCGCCTTAACACAGGAAGCTGATCACACAACTGACTGAAGCCGCATTTGTTAATTATGCTGCTTAGAGATACTCTCATTGATTACACACGTAAGTCGTCGAAGAAAGTCGATTTATCACATCAACAGCTTATGTGGACTTTGCTTAGACCTGCATTTTAGCCCGTGCTTGGACATGACGTCCAAATAACTTCTTTTTTGATAAGGCTTTTCCTAACTCTCTCGTGAATATTTGTTCATGTTTTTCTTATGGATGGCTAGAGAGCAAAGGAGAACCTTCTAAATGCAACTGCCCGTCTCACAAGAAATCAATTTTTGAAGCTTTTCCCTCTCCTAAAACGCTCATTGTAGGGTGTACTTATTCAAGTAAATAAGTGTTCAGTCAAACTACTCAAGACTCTGAATGATTTTTGGCTGTTACGTGAGTTTGTTCACGCTTTTATTTACAACGTCTGAAGTTCATCCGACATTATTCACACAACCAATGCTTTGGGAAATATCGGCTTGTTACAGCCTTGCCGAGACATCGTGAACCAAGTACCAACTAACTACGTTTCAGTGGAGCCTCATCTGATTGAATTGTGGAAGCTCGGTGGGACTCTAGCCCTTGACAATAAGAATAGAGTTTCGGCTCAGTCAGCTTCCCAACCGACTGAGCTGTGAGACCGTAGCAGGGAACCGTGAGCTTATTAACATTCGAGTCAAGTTACTAGCCTCACTTTCTAGTGAATCAGCACAGCTCTGTTACATAGCAACGCGGAGGAAATCAGACTGCAGGAATTGTTCAGGGTTTACTAACTGGAAAAAGTCAACAGTAGCTGGAGACGGTGAAGACGAGTAATGGGGGATTTTTTATATAAGGGGCGACAGACCTTTCCGAATTGGGTAAGGATTTTAGGTCACGCGGTGATTTTACGGTAAAATTGATGGGGAACCCATGCAGACAGTTTTGTGCGATGCAGCCCTAGAGTGCCTCGAACAGCGACGCTTTGTAGCAGCAATGGGTTTTAGGGCTCAATGGCTAGCCAGAGCTGCCCGTTGTCAGACGCCCGGGGCTGCCGGGAGTCATAGCGCTCTAGAACTGGACTTCGTATAAGTGGGTCCGGACAGCCTTGACCGTACTCGCCTACTTTCAGCTATAATGAATCTCACGTGCGGGGATCACTAGACGCTTTAAGGGTGAAAACGCATGCTAGGAAATTTTTTTTACCGTCATTCACCCCTGCCTAACAAGGTCTATTTGACATAAATTAAGGTGAGCGAAGAAACATACAACCTCAGACCTCTCTCGCTCTGGTGTTAGGCTAACGGTTCAGACACGGGAATAAGCCCTAACGCTAATACAACCGCAGATCTAGCCCTCTCCCCTGAAATTTGGCGCAAAGTCACCTGTAATACGAGCTATCCACATTTTTCTGCCTTGCTTAGATTTTCAACCGTATGATGTGTTGATTAAAGCACATACGGCAGGAGGTATTATTGGTCTACGGATGCTATTTTTCGAGCCAGCATGAAGGCAATATTCCTTAATAAGTACCAGTGCACTACCGTTTATTTGTTTTTTTTTGACATTCAGCCTCAGTGTCCCCTATCTACAGCAACTTGAGATGCATCCTCGGTCTTGTGGGATAGTCCTGAAGGTAGGTTGCTTTATGAGGTAAGTCAGTGGGCCATATCTGTCGAAAACGTCACCCATAGTTCATACCAACATGTCTCGCTGGACGTGAATTTTTTGGAATATGATGCCGATATTTTGGTTATGAGCAGAACATAATTTTGCTTTAGGCTGATTTCTTTTGTACATCAACAAACTAATTTTACAGGAACTCTTTTGTCAGAGAGTTCAAGTAACCAAAAGGAGTCAGCAGTGACGAGTTTGCGCGTCAGACTTGAGATCACACCGGTACGCAAGGGAGTTAGATCGTCCGGAGACCTGTTAATGTCATGATAAATGTAAAAAATACCAGTACTAATGACATCCTTTGCAACTTTCTACATTAAGCAACCTGAATGGTCCATCAGTAGTATATCCGCCGTAGTTGACTCCCAATTCCACGTTGTACCCTAAGGAAGTATCATCTTTCCGGAATTTGGGTGTTACTCTATCTCAAACCTTTCATTTCCCTTCATACTGAAGTCTTTTTTAATCGAATTCGTAAAACCCCTTAATTAAAGTTGACGTTTAAGTTCTTTCACATTTCTCCGCCCTCAATCTGACTACTTATATATACTTGCACTCGTTCTCTCTTTCCTTTATGTCGTCTTGTTATTTCTCCTGGTTTGTCTAAAATATGTGTTTATTTTAAGGCGCGTCTCCCGAATACTCATTGCTGCCGCCAGTGTTACTTACGTCCTTTTGGCTGGTGTCATAGTACTACGACAATTCATGACGATCAAGCAACTAGCTGATCAAATTCTGGATGACATTGTCTATCCCCCACTCTGAAATAATTACTGTGAAGTCCTTCCGCGCCAAGCGCTGTGGCTTCCGACATATCCCTGGACGTACATCGACATATACAATTTTCCAGATTGCAATTTCGGGTGAAATACCTTGTTTATATAGAGACTGACATGCTGAAACTGAGACGCGAACTGGAACGGTAAGAGTTATATAGTTTCACTTAAACCCATCTACCCTATCATAATTTATCCTGTTATATTCTGTCCACCATAACTGGAGGACGTTTTTATTAAAAATTGTGAAGCGGCGATTTCAAAATAAAGCTTTTTTCTCTCTGCACCTCTTTTTGACTGGTTTAGCCTGATAACCCGACCATCAGATCTGCAGTGTTTTAAGGGGCTTCAAGGAGACAGCAACTTTCACAATCACAGTCAACGTTAAGAATTCTGCTAGTGCTTTTTCTATTAGTGCACGCTGGACAGGGGCAGATAACTGACATCACAAGTGACATTCCAGTCCAGCTTCATATCCTGGGACGCATATGCATATCCGCATTTACTTTTAGAGCTGACTACAGCATAAAATTTAATTTGGGACTTTCTCGAGAGTGGCGAACCAGTAAACCACTAGCCAGAGTCAAAATGTGCGACACAGGATTTTAAATGTTTGCTTCCAATCGACTGGCAATGTAGTATTCGCCCAATGACTCCCAAGGTCACTCCTCTCTATTGTCTGCGCTGTGCACCAACCAGACTGCGGGAATAGCCTAGAAGGAACGAAAATCGTCCTTTCTCCTCGAAAGTCTCTATTCCGCCCTGTAACCAGATCTGTTCTGCAGGCGTGCGTTTGATCTGAGGTGAACGTTTGTTTACAGGAACTGCTGTAACGAAGGTAAGTACACTGCCTGAAACGAAGTGCCCGCAGTAGCCTAGAGTTTTGTTGATTTAGACGCATGCTGCAGAATGCCCCTCATGCGTCCTTCGCCCTTAGGTGCGTACCAAGCACGATGACCTCAACGCGTGTAACATAATAAGCGTTGTGTTTTGATTTTGTTTTGTTTGATGCTGCGGCCTCAACTCCCTTCACATTCAGAGCTCGCAGTCGACAGTGGCCTTAGTCGTTTCAAGCAACGCATGAAGAGAGTCTGTCTTACTTGACGTAAGTCAACAAGTAAGTGAGCTTCGGGCTTCTAATTAATGTTGATATGTACACGTCCCCCACCTGCGTTTTCATTATTCTCCTAAATTACTTGAGGTATCTCATAAAAGCATAAACTAATCCGTCAATGACTCTCTTGATGGAACCCTCCACAACGTCAACCCGAAGCAGAAAGACATATTTATGGATGCGCAGTCATCATACCGTTCCTAATTTTCCGATCTCTTCCAAAGCGCCCATTTCTGGATCTTGCCTGTGGCGTTGTTCTCACGTTCACGTCTGAAACCAGTGATGCAACTAAATGAGCTGCTTGACTCCTAGGCAAGTTTAACGGATTCAGTTGGTATTGCAGTAGATGTGCTAACTCACGAAATGTTAGCCGAAATTCGGCAACGCGTTTTCGACTCGAACAGATCACCTAAGTAGAGTTTTAATATTAATCACCGTACAGCATAATTCCACAATAATTCAGTTGCTTCAGGATGCCGACTTTTGAATGAACTTCTTTCCGGCCACCTGCAAAAACTAAACTCTGCAAAAAATGACTACTTAATTTGCATGAAATTTTCTCACCGATTTTAAATGCTTTCATATATTCAAATATATTTCATAGAAAAAATGCATAAATTTTATGAAAGCCTTTACGGTTTCCTCCTAATCACGTAGAGGAAGAATAGATATTCTTTTAATTCCTTGGTGGAAACTTACGTCTTCTTCAAAATCTATATCTGAAGAAAGGTATAATTCGGTTTTAAAAAACTTTTCAATTCCAGAATAATTTTAAAACCGACATGCTGTTACACTTTCATTCAGGGTTTCCAAACTACAAGCTGTATATTTTCCGTGTACGGAAAGTCATATATTTCTCTACGTGATTAGGAGGAGACCGTAAAGGCTTTCATAAAATTTAGCAGTAGATGTGAGCGTACTGTAAACATTACAAGAAACATTGGTAAATGCACTGACAGGATGTTTTATGAACAGGCATTTCGCGGTTTTAAAAATTCTTATAATTAAGAAATTTTTATGACCGGACCGTATCCTTCTTTCAAGCATCAAATTTGAATCAAGCGTAATTTCCTACCGAATGAACAAAAAAATGAATATTGTTACGCATGTTTTCTATGAACTATATTCAAATTTATATGGGTATTGACAATCAATATGAAAAACTCATGCTAATCACGTAGTCAGACTATGCGGAGTTTAGTTTTTGCAGGCAATCGGAAAGAAGTTCATTCAAAAGCCGATATCCTGATATAACTGAATTATCATGGGATTATGCTGTACGGCGATTAATAGTGCGACTCTACTTAAGTGATCTTTCCGAGTCGAAAACGCATCTCAGAATTTCAACTAATATTTCATGAGTTAGCACATCTACCGTATGCTGTGAAACCTCCTTTTACCACTTGAGGCCTGTGTGACGTAATACCACGATATTTATAAAGGTCAGTTTGTGCTATCCTTGTACATTAAAAGGTGTATTAATGGAATGCCTTCAGATCGTTCGGAATGAAACTTTATCGGTTCGCTCTGAAAGTTGATGTGAATATTTGGGCCGAAGTCCACCATCTACGGTGGGACGACCGAGCAATATTCATAAACTGTCAACATGCAGTCAGTAGTACAAAAATGATGCATGATTTGCCAAAGTGACAGCACAGGTAATAGCTTACAGTCAAAACACGTGTTTCGCCGTTTTGCTGCGGCTGCATGACAGAACTACGAGGGGTTGGGCTAATCAATGGCCCCCCCAGCACTCCCCATGTACCTTATGGCATATGCTACCGTCTTGAGATTTCGACTCTTCAATTTTCTCAAAGATTGACGCGTTAGCTTGAAGTAACTCGAGCCGGATGAGGCTGTATAGGCTCAGTCAGAAAGTTTGCTATGAATGCCTAAGCCGAAATCCATCAGCTTCAACGGGATAACCGCGTAATATTCATAAGCCCCCAGCGGGCAGTCAGTGGTACACACATTTTGTATGATATTTCTTGACTCGGGGGTTAGACGTCAACTCCATGGGACCTGTTTGACTACCAGTGGCAAGTAGGCCAGAGTCAGCCATTCTAATCATCGTTGCCTTTACCAGCGCGACCTCACAAGAAGAAATCATGCAGCAGTCTTGATGTGCATTACAGCATTGTTAGAAAATATTCGGCATGATGTGGTTTGGTAGTCCCACCTGGTGGACATAATAGTGTTGGGGTTAGAGTTAGGGGGCAGGGTTAGGGGTTATGGTTAGCGTCTAGGGTTAGGGGTCATAGTTAGGGATAAGGGTTAGGATTAAGGGTTAATGCAACTATTTCTCAACCACTTAAAGTATAGCCGCGCATCCCCAATACCTTTTCTTTTGCCCACAACTTCTTGCCCTCGTCGCCTGTGCGTTCCCCGGCCCCATCTGTAAATACTCCTATTAACACCGATCCCGTAATAGAAGTGGCTGGGGTTTGTTTACTTCAGGTGGGACTACAAAACCACATCCGACCAAATATTCAAAGACAGGGTTGACAAAAAAGATATTATCTTTAAGCATGCTTCTCATACCTCGGTGCAATGGGGGCTCACATTTTCACGTATTGAAAGTTGGGAAGGACCAGCTTTTCGAATGAAATTTACATTGCTATTAAACTCCAAATATTCTTCTGGTCTTGTAGTACTTTATTTGTTAACCTCATTGCTAACATACATGTCGCACGCTGGACGCTGAAGTCTTCGCCCGCAGTATAACTTCGGTCATTACTACTGTCAGTTATTGTTCAAATGATGCTTCACAGATGCACTGTGCCCCGTCAGACTGTTGATTCCTGGTGATTAATAATCACTCGGACTGCAATGCAAACCATCTACCAGACTTGCTGGATTTTGCAGCATGTCAATTTCCTCAGAAATTAGCTGTTAACTCTGAGTAACTCAGCCATTTTGAGGCTTATAGACCCAGAACGAAATATGATAGGAATATATGGACCGAGGTCCATAAGTCACGACGGAACAATTGCGTAATATCCATTAACTGCCAACAGGCAGTCAGTAGTATACACACAGGTTGCAGAATATGCCATACTGGACAAAACAGATACTAGCTACAAGAAAATTTTATAAACTTTAATAAGCAGAGCTGCGTCGAAGAAGACGTGCGTTTATTGGTGTTCATAAGACCAATCGTTCACAAACTCCCTTAACGGATAGATTATTTATAAGTACCTCGAAGGGAAATCCGATATGCTTCAAGCGGATGATACGCAGATTGCACGGAAAGTTTACTGAAGTTCCTGCGGACGCGTTTTCCATTTAGCGGTACGTATGTTAGCTCTTTCTTAGACAGAAAAAACAGACTTAAGTTGCTGAGTTCACATTCAAAAAAGTGTCATCGTTCATATTCAAATCCGTATCTCATCAGTGGAACGCTCGCATAGTATAGAAAATCTACTTCTGGCAAATGTTGACTGGTGATCGTTGGCGCGGAACATCTTTGCAGTGATACATTGCTTTTACTGTTCTGAACTCATACGAATTCATGAGTTTCATGATGGTACCTTTGTGGGCTAAACTGCATAGTTCGACATCTATTTATTTGGATCACCACATAAAAGCCTGCAAAGAAGTTTTGTTTTGTATCCACCAAGGAAGATTCTATGCAGTTATTCTGCACAGTTATTCACATATTTAGCAAATTGTTTCCATTCGGATGCTTTAATGAGATGTCTGCGACAGGCTGGATGTCTATAAAGGAGACTATAGTAGTCTCATTTACAGTAGGTGGGCTAACTCATGGAGTGTTAACCGAAATTCCGAAATGCATTTTCGTTTCGGGAAGATTACTTAAGTAAGATTGTAAAACAGATCATCTTGCAGGGTAATTCTGTAGTAATTCGGTTACCCCAGCATGCCGGTTATCGAACAAACTCCTTTCTGATTGCATGCAAACACTACAAACAGCAAAAAATATTACTTAAATAGCATGTATTTCTCTCATTGGTTTTCGATGCCCTTCGAAATTCAATTATATTTCGTGGAAAACATGCATAGAAATATTCATTGCTTTGCTCATTCTGTAGAAAACTACTTTTTCCAAGTTTAGTCTCGGAGGAAGGGTAGAATTCGGCTCTAAAAAATTACATATTGTGAGGTTTTTAATACCGTGAAATGGCCGTTCATAAAATGTCATATCTCTGCATTTACCAATGGGGCTTGTAAATTTAACAATATGGATCAAATCCACTGCTAAATTTTACGAACACTCTATGGTCTCCTCTTCAAACCTGTAGAGAAATGTATGATTTTCCGTACGCGGAAAGTACACGCCCTGTATTGTGGAAACCCTGAATGCAAATGTAATGGCAGGTGGAGTTCAAAATTATTCTGGAATTGGAAACGTTTTTTAAAACTGGATTATACCCTTTCTTCGAGTATCAAGTTGAAAGAAGACGTAATTTCCTACCAAATAAGCAAAAAAGGACTGTTTTATGCATGTTTCCTAAGAAAAATGGTTGAATTCTCAAGGGCTTTGAAAATCAATGTGAAAAATGCGTGCCACTGAAGTTGTAATATTTTCAGAGTGCAGTTTTTGCATCCAGCCCAAATTAAGCCGGCATCCTGAGTTAATCGGGCTATTATAGAATTATGCTGCGCGATGGTTAGTTCTACAACCCTACTAAATTAATATTTTCAAGACGAAAACGCATTTCGAAATTTCGATTAACATTTCATGGGTTAGCCCGCCTACTGTATAAACAGAAATCTCATCCAACTGACCAAGTCATCCTCACATCGATGCGTAAGGACATCCAGGAAGGGCAGTTCGTAGTTCCGTTCGCAAGCCACTGTGAAAATAGGTTTTGGTTCTACCTACTAACTGTAATTAAAAGGTAACTGACAACTACACTGTTATTTAAAACCGCAGTTATATTGCAGACGTGCCTACTATGCACGCGATTTTAATTTGAATGCGTTTGCCTCTTCTCGAGAGGATAAAAATACGTTATCCAGGGTCGGATGACGTAAACTTCCAACGAACACTAAATGCATCAAAATCCCGGATTAACAGGATGACAAAGCACTATTCCCGTGTGTTCATCAACACAGATCAGGAGGGAGGACGACTCTGTTGAATGGTCAGTCTTCCATAAGAATTCACAAAAAAGCTAGCATTTGCAGTGCTTACAGGGTTCAAGCTGTTCAAATTCAGTTAAACAATTACAGCTACGGGCTATTGAACGGATCGTTCACGAAGCTCCGCTCATAGTTGCTAGTCATGCGAAGGTAATTCTGACAGAGGTGAACAACGATGTCTTGCTCCGACATGCCACCTCAACTTGCGCCAAAGATTTCGCGTGTGTTGTCGAGCATGAGTGAGCCGAATGGACGTCAGTGTTAGTCTCGGGCACTTGCGTCTGCTCCGCCATCCGAAGATAACCTTCTGGGCTTTCATTCTCCCCTCTGGCGGCTAGGACATCGCACAGGCCTTAAGGGCCTCGTACATACTGTGCTGGAAACCGAAGAGTACAACGGACTGGAACTTGTCCTAACCCTGGTCCTACCACGGCACTTATAGTTACTTTGACTCACATCACCCAAGTATTCCGTTACCCCCTACTTACAGCCCACATTTATTCTCTTCCCTGCCCTGTCGCCCCTAGTGAATAAAAGATGCCTTTTTAGCATGACTTTTGCACCATTCATTCATTAATCGTGCTGTTCACTGACGGTAGTTGAAAAGTTGTTGCGAGTTTTTCGCGGCGTCAGTAAATTGTTCTCTGCCAATAGAAGCGAAGAGACGAGTCCCAGGAAGTAGACTTGAAGAAAGAGGCACGATAGCTGGGACAAGAGCTTTATCAGCCTGACGTTTCGGATTCCTGCTCGAACCCATCATTACAGACAAAAGCAGATACGGGTGATTCATGCACAATAAGCTGTAGTATTTATAGGATGCAGTCGCCAAGCTGCCGCATACTTACGAACATTCGACGAGATCCGGCCACACATTCAAATTCAACGAGGCCGAAATTCTCGCAAGAGGTGACAACCGCGTGAGTCGGGGGCTATTTGAATTATGGTTTACTAGCCCCCAGTCCATTAACAGGTGCAATGACCTTCCCCTTCCATACTCGGTGCTAAGGTTTCGCCTAGGCGGAGTAATTAGTCAGAGCGCAACTGCGTGCTAATGTGTGCGCGATAGTCACATCAAGACCAACCACGCCCAACTTTCTTCGAACCGGTTTCCCCTCCCTCTGGGACATGCGAAGGAGGAAGGACGGTCAAAACCATGTTAACATTAGTGTCACTTTGCTTTTTCATCATTTGTCTAAAACGTTCTTGGAAGATCATAAGCTGCTGAACTACACTGTACGCGTTTTGTCCCCTTCGAGGCTGAGTGAGTTAGTACTTCCGATCCCGCAATCATGAAGTGGAATTACAGCGGGCTTCAAACGTCCTCATTTGCTTTGCCAAATGAAGAGAAGCCCTCGACTTGCTCTCCACAAGGAGCACTGTGAAATGGTGTTGCGTACTTTCGAAAGTGTGTAGGTCAGGGCCGGGTCGCGTGTATGGCATGCGAAGGCGCGCTGTTTATTTTCCCACTGTCGGTCACTGCGCCCAATCCCCGCGTCAGCTGACTGACTGGCTAGAACACTGATCTAGAGCTTGGGCGAGGGAAGAGAGGCTGACATCGACTCGCTTAGCACATATTCCTGCCTATAAACCGTCTGATGCCCTTTTAAACTATCACAGTGAGCTAGAAGCCGTGCCTCGGAAGGCTGCCAGCCAATGGGACGGAGAGTCAGACTGCAATGGTGTCCTTCTTTCTGTTACCTTTATGGCACTCTTACCCACTTTGGATCCGAGCCGTCCCCTCCCTTGTTGTGTGAATTGCTGGTCCTTTGTGCGCGAACCAAGGGGATGTGGTTGCGCGCTTGGGTGCGGGTTCAGCTGCGTCAGCCACCTGCGTCTGATCCGCCGCCGGCCTTCTTGGCTCTGCTTTGCCACCGGATGAGGAAGAAAAAAGTCTGGTAGATGCTGTTCAACTCCACTATCACTGTAAACTAATTTACGACCAAGTCATTGTCCATGCGTCTACTCTACTGTGGCGCACACGGTGGGCATAGTCGGAATCGACGGTCGAAATGTCGTTATGTAGGTCTTGTAAATCGGTTCCGCATCATCGACTGGGGAAGAGCAGCGTAGTCTGGAAGTATATGAAGGTTTCATGCAGAAGGACCTAACAAATCGAAGGAAAGGCCAATGAGCTGGGTAGAAGTAGACGATGATGTCTCGAAATCATTAAACTCAGTCAAATGAGGAAGATGGGACTGTGTACTTGTTTTTATGTAGGTTTTGCCTGACGAATTGATGAGACTCTTTATATAACAGCAATAATACTTATTTAATTTTTGTTACCTTATCGGTATGGACGTTCGATGAGGAATTTGTCTAGCCAAAAAATGGAAGCGTGGTTGCAGAGTGGTGTTACTATTTCGCGTTTTTACATGCTTTACGTGCTTCCTGTTGTCATTAAAAATTTTACATAACTCCTATCGCTCATTTCAAATGTTATTTACACTTTTTAATGGTCTCCATAGATAGTTCAGACAGAACCTTGCACGATTACGAAACAGAAAGTTTCTTTACCCCCCATGAAGAGGACTTTTTATAGCCCATCTTTGATAAATCTCTTGGACACGCATGTACCTCCGTGCAATTTCTCAAACTACTCGGATGGACTTAAAGAGGATCAGTAAGGAAGATAAGCTCGTTTAATTAAAGGAAACGGGTAAAGGAAACGATGTCCTTAAGGGAGGGTTTGATACCAGTTCTACGCTAGGATTTAAAGCCGCATCCTTCAACCGCCCTTCGTCTAAACCTGTTCTAAGTGGAGAAGACTTCTACTCTTCACAAGACTTCCCACACCACGATGACGAGACAGGTTTACGGTGATGGTGGATGAGTGTGGGCTAGCTGGTTGGCGACCTGGATAACCCGTCTACACGTACCACATACGTGCTACATTTCGCCTTAGTTGTGGTGCCATAAACGATAAATCCTGCAGCAGTCGGCGCATTTTCAGCCTTGTTCTAGGGGAGGGCCGAATTATCTCCTCAACCGGCAGCCTTCAAAGCCACGAATTTCACCGCATCATAATAGTCTCACGCGTGATTAAACTCCCGTTTCCCGGTTGAGATCTCGTTGCTCAGGTGGTTAAGGCGTCGGTCGTACTCATGCCTTGTCCTTGCTATCATGGGTTCAAATCCCACCAAGGCTGCTGATTTTTCACAGATGTGTCGAACAACTTATTCAAAGCTGCGAAAACACCACTTTGATATCGATCTCATTCAATTCTGCTCGTGTGAATTGTTGGAATCTCTAGAATGACTCGATTTGACCCGATTCGAGTGAGCCGTCGCCTATGGGGGGACACTTATGTTTTCGAAAGAAATTTTGGACGCACCCAATCTCAACACGGTCTCACTAGCTTTCCTAAGTATATATCTCCCCAAATGGCGGAAGTGTGCCATTAACGAGACTATTTTGTTCTGCGTTTGCTCCCGCTTCCCATTTGGACGGTGGATAAAATGCCGAAGGATGTAAAACTGACTTGAACAAGGAAAGTGCACAATGTTTTTACTCTTCTTATTTTTTTTCTTTCATTTCAGTTCAGCAAATGGGTCTCATTAAGATTCCTCCTTGGTTGATCGTGCTCTCTTTCTACGCGCGGTACATCTTTATAATCGTCTACCCCCTTATTCTGTCACCAATTCTTATTACACACGATGGAAAAGTAAGTTCCTAAGCATTATTCATCGTTTTTATCTCCGCGAAATTTTTTACGGTCTTTTCTTTTATGGGGAAGATCTCCCACAGATTTGAGCATCAAGTAGCGATTTTTCATGATAACCAGGCAGTGTTTTTATAAATATTACGAACTTTTTTTATCACTAATGCTGTGAAGATCTTCAAATCTTATATTTATTGGGAATTGCCCGTTCATCAGTTGCTCGTTCACTGACAGTTGAAGGGGAGTATTGGGAGGAAAGTTTCACACTCTCATGCAATGGACAGGTGGGACGTAGCTTTTGAAATGAAATTTAGAGGCTGACAGGCCAAACTTCAGAATCAACATCAACACGGCAAGTTTGTTAGCTGGAGTCGAGAAGCAGTCTTTACAGGCATATTGTGCTACTACCAAAATCTCTAGCTTGTTATTAGGTCTTTAAGAATCATCGCACTCTGGTGCAGATACCACCGGTTGCTCTGCTCACTTTTAGAGACTTTAATATCGGTCTATTTATTATTTAAAAAAGCAGGAAGATAAGTCCGGGGATTTCGAAGTTCCTGTATTTGTTAATAGTCCTCGGCATATCAATCAACATTTCCTATAAATTATCATGCTAATGCCATGCATTAAAATAACAGACTGGTCAATTACACTCTGCTCAAATTACGACCTCTATATTTTCATCGACAGGATGAAAACGGAAGTAGCACCTCAGACGACTGTGCCGTATAGTTACTACGTTAAAATTTAGTAAATAAACCAGAGCGTCTACTGGAAACTCAAATGGCGATGCTCAGGGTTGAGCCGCCTTAACATCAAGCTACCGAATTCGATCGGATTTTGCATACACAGCATTTTTGGTTGATGTGGGCAGAACCGATTTATTGCTGAGAGATTTACTGGCAGGCACCGAAACCTCTCTCATCGCGCGCATTGTTGTGCATTTTGCGCAGACAGCATAAAATTGTTGAAGGCATTTTTAGACTTACACCACGGCCCAGCGAATCAGCTCGATCAATCGACCAGGTAGATACTTATATAGAATCTCGCAGTGATATGCAAGTTCCCTACTTATAATTCGGACCCTGGTCCTATAAAGCCGTCTGTTTGATACCGGCTGTAAAAGAGGTGTTCGACGGAAGAATTCCCCGGAAAGTCATGTCGGAAAATTGGACTGCTATTCATACTTGTTTCGGTTTGGACCTTTCGGCCGGAATGAGGTTTATCGAAGGAGTTTGAGAAAAATCTAGATGTCCCAAGAACTGTTACTGTCACATCAGGCTGTACCGAAATGTTCACATCTGTATTCTTCGCTGCCATCATCCAAACGCACCCAAGTATAAGTCGAGGACCTGCGGCTGCAAATGGGGCTCTTCAGTCTTCGAAAAGTGCAATCGCTCTAAAAAAAGTTGCCGCTCCTCAACGACGATAAGGGATGCCAAGTCTCATACAAGTGGCGATAGCCGATCGTTCCTGGTTCCGACATTTCCCTTTCACTGGTTATCTGATCTGAAATCATCACAGACGATCCCGCAGCTACATGCAGTCGTTATTATAAAATTATCACCGGGTAGGCATGATAGACTGGAAAAGTCAACATTGGTACTATCCGGCCAGTCCCATGTCGGAGCATCTAACGCTCGAACTCGGGCTTGCTGCAATACCCCAGTCTGAAAGAGCTCTCGAACGGACCTCTATGGCAGAACAGCATCCTCCGTGTTCTGTCTTGAAATCAGAATAGGTCGATGGACGCGAAGTCCACGCAGGCTGTAATTACAGTAGGTGGGCTACCTCATGAAATGTCAACGGAAATTCCGTTTTCGTTTTGAAAAGATTAATTCAGTAGGGTTGTAAGACTTGTCTTCGTGCAGCATAACTCTATAACATTTCAGATACCTCGGGATGCCGGTTTTCGAACAAAAATCTTTCCGGCCACATGCAGAAGCCACAATCTGCAAATGACTACTTAATTAGCACGCACCTTTCTCATCGATTTTTGATGCCCTTAAACATTCAATTATATTTCATGGAAAGCACGCATGAAAATATTCATTCTTCCGCTCATTCGGTGGAAAATTACGTTTTATTCCAATTTTATACTCGCAATGAACGGTAATATTCTGTTTTCAAAGACGTTTCCGATTCCCAAATAATTTTGAACCCGACTTGCCATTACACTTGCATCCAGGGCTTGCAAACTACAAGCCATCTATTTTCTGCATACGGAAAACCACAAATTTCTCGAGGGTATTAAGAGGAGACCATGAAGGGTTCATAAAATTTAGCAGTGGATTTGGTCCATATTGCCAACTTTACAAGCCACATGGGTAAATGCAGAGACGTGCCGATTTATGAACGTCCATTTGACGGTATTAAAAAGTGTCACAATCAGAAACTTTTTTGAAACCGGATCATGTGCTTCCTTCGAGTGTAAAATTGGAAGGGGATGTAGTTTTCTGCCGAATGAGCAGAAGAATGAATATTTTATGTATGTTTTTCATTAAACATAATTGAATGAGAGAAATTCATGCTAATGAAGTAGTCATTTTACGGAGTTTGGCTTTTAGGCAGCCGGAAAGAAGTTTGTTCAAAGACCATAATCTTGAGGTTTCCTAATTATTATGCTGCAAAATGATTAATTTTACAATCCTTATTAATTAATCTTTTCTAAACGAAAACGCACTTCCGAATTTCGGTTGACATTTCTTGAGTTAGCCCATGTACTGCCTGTTTTAGGGGGTAGCATTTGACGAGCAAACGATTGCCCGTTTCTCTCCTATTGGTCGTGTAGTTTCCCATTTCCCATGTCTAAGTTTAAATTTATACAGGTACACTTTGCTAATATTGCTATAGTTGCTGTAAACGCATGATTTTCATGCATACGGAGTTCCTTAAGGACAGCTTTTCGTAGCCTGGCGTCATGCGAGGAGTAAGGATGTAACATCCCTTCGTCAGATATTCTCCTCCTTCTCCCGCGTCATGAAAGGGCTAAAAAATTTCCTTTTCCAGCGGAGTCCTCCACTTGTCATGTGCCATGCATCCGCAAATCAAGGAGTAAATAGACACACACATGCACACACCGTGTCAAGAAGCGCCTTGGAATTCGTGTGGTGGGAAATGCCGCTCGGCTTGACTTGTCTAGTCGAAATTTGACGACACCAGTGCGTGTTTTAGAGATTTCCTGATTTCATTCTCCTCTTAATGGCTTTCCGTAGAAGCGCCATTTCAACAAAACATACACTATAGGTGTCGCCCTTGTTACTTTGCTGTAGAACTCGAAAGCGGCCTACATTCTGCTTCTAATGAGCGGTTTCTGGGTGACCGGCTTCATTCCGCTCTACGTGACCGCACTCTTTCCAGTTGTCCTTGCACCTCTCATGGGACTGCTTCCCAGTGCTATTGTAGCCAAGGCCTACATGTCGGTAAGATGGTGTCAAAATAAAACTTCAAAATGTTGGAACCAAGGAGGCTAGTAACTTTCCCTTCATCCCTCTTTCATACACCAGAGCTCCACCCTCTTGTTCCTCGGCGGTATGATCTTGGCAACTGCAGCCGAAAATACCAACTTGCATCGCCGCATCGCTGTCGCCTTCATGCGTTGCATGGGTCATGACGCTCGCCTGTAAGTTTGCGAGTGAAGAACGCTTCGCAGACTGAATGCCCAAAATTTGGTGTAACTTGCAGATGGCGTTGGGGGGAAAGGAGGGGTAGAGTTGCCAACGAAAACGACATTTGTTATCAACTTGTAGACAGCTACTTGAGTCCTTCACTGGAAAACTCGGAGAAGCTGGGTCCCCCTTTTGATTGGCTTGCAAATGGATCAATGATCTTCAGTGAAATGTTGCAAACCAGGAGTTTGCGGTGTATTTCGACTAAATATCATCGAACACTGACGCTATCCCGAGTAGTAGCGTGTTTGTCTGATTGTGAGCATGCTCTTCACAAGGTCGTCAGCATCCAACTGTCTAAATTTGTTTGTACTGTCGTAAATTCTTCTGATGGACACAGACAGTGGAGAAATTTAGGGAGCAACTTAGAGAACGAACACATACCTTTGAAGTTCCTCCTGGCACAGATTGCATACTTCTGTTTCAGCAGTGAAGAGAGCTGACGGATGCCCGAAACAAGTATTAGTCAGGTAAATAAATGGCATCAAATAGTTTCGGGACTCTGTCCTCGAGAAGTCAATAAGTAGATTTTGAAAAAAATAGGCGGGCAGATTTTAACATCATTGTAATCACATGTAGACTGCAAATGTGAGTAAATCTTCAAACCTAGAACAGGTAAACACATTTGGGATGCTCTATATGGGTAAGATACATATACCCTCATAGCGTAGATCAGGGAAGCAACGGCTTACTGTTCGTAAAAACATCACAGCACTCGTTAGAAGGTTCAAGTTCTCACGAAACAACACGTTCTAGCAGAGCACTCTGCCTCAATGCTCGGCCGGAGCAGTGGCTGACTCATTGTTCCTCGAGCAACAGACACGTCATGTTCGATGGAGAATAAACGGCACAGGAGTAAGCACCAAAGAGCAAGTGGATAGGATGAAAATAACAGCACGGGTACTACCATGCTCTAGTCCACTCTGCACTTTGCAAGAAGGAGGGGGTAGCGAAGGTTTGCGTTCAAAATTAGAGTATTAGAATCTGGGGTTTCTAAAAGCAAGACTGAAATACACACACACACTCCTGATCCCCTGAAATTCATGCTTACATGATCGTTACTTACTTTCGTCGGGTAGACGTCTGCGTTCGATTATCGACCTCGAGAATGATCCTTTTGGCAGTACATTCACTACCTTCATTTCCTTGGACTACGGCGGTTTAGCCGACGTTTGACTGTGTGCCCCGAAAAGCGCGCACAGCTTACTTATCAGCTCGATGGCCATAAAGCCACAACGTAATGAGGATATACTTAAATTGGTACGGTGAAAATTTTGATCATAATGATGTGTGGTTATAGGGTGCAAGCTTCGCTTTCTTGGGCGATTCGGGATTGAGTTGGAAATACACGGTTTAAAAGTGTGCTCACTAATATGCGATGACATTGTTGAGGGTTGATTCTCTTGGCACTGCTTTCACAGGCATTATGAACAGCATTAAGTAATGGCGTTAAGGTAATTTTGAGGCTTACAGCGTTCACGGGATACAGTGGGGTCTGGAAGTTAATTTCAGGTGGAGGGTATGGCCGTATTTCAGTCTGCTTATTTCCGATATTTATGGTTTGGGTCTCGGCGTGCTCTTCAAAATATCTCAGCAAAACCGCCATGGTTTCATACATTCAAATCGGAAACTGTTCACCTGACACTGCTATTTAAAACCCCATGAAGCAAACGAAAGTTTTGTCGTTATTGAAGGGGGCTGTAGAATCTTTGTGATAAAAAAACTAATGAATCCGATAAGACGCTTATTGGAGGTCCAGTCGGAGATGGTCAGGGTTGGTCGTCTTAACATCAGGTTACTGATTTCGCTCGGATTTTGTAATCGCAGCGCCTTCAGTTGGTGTGTATGTGACTGATAAATCGCTGATCGGTTTATTTACAGGCACCCGAATCTCAATTCCACTCATCACGCTCACTGTCCCGCATTTTCTGCAGACAAGGTGTATAACTGTTGCAAGCGTTTTCGGATTGAAAGCATAATTCATAGAATAGACGGTATGAAATTATTCACCTTCGTTCACTCGACCATCCACCTGAGTAAGTGTGGCGAACTTTGAGGCGAGAAACAGACCCTTCATTCGCACCTTAGGCCCTGGTCCTATCCAGCCCTCTGTGTAAAACCGGCTTTTACACCATGGCACGGTAAAGAAATGGTGTATAATCGGGTGTGCTTTACCATACAATACAAGCTACTACGTTCATTTGAGTAGGCGCTGTCCAACTAGGCTCTTCCTCGCCCTAGCATACGCCATGGCGCTGCTTTGGACGGCTGCCAAGGTCTACTATCCATTGCTACCAGAAGGCAGATTTATCGACCTTCAACCACTATCAGGGTCATGCACTCGGGTTCAATACTCGCGTCCGGTTCTGAATGACCGACTATTGTCTGACTGCCAACACGCAATTAGCTGCGGCTACGCTTCGGTCAACCACATAGGATAGACCCATCTGCCCCTGCTGGCGTCTCCTGTTTCATTATGTCTAGGTGACCAAACCGTCGAATTGCGCCAGTGGATTGCAATGGTCAGGGCACCCCTCCCTTTACTGATATATCAGAGAAGTAAATGCAACCTCAGACTCAATGGTCCACTCTCCTTGTTTGATGTTTCGACCGTGGCATCCGACGATGTCCACCGTGTGCTCCACAGTAGGGTGTAGCAGGCACGGTGACTTGCGCGTGAATTAGTTTATGATGAAAGTAGACTTGCGTAGTATCTACCACCCTCTCTCCTCCTTCCCACCCGTGCTCGGTGTCATGACATATTCAAGAAGATCGGAGGCAGGGAGGGCGCAGGTGGATGCGCGGCTGAACTCGCACCTCGACGTCCCACTCCACACCCCCTGGTCCACAACAAACATTTGACCAGGATTTTGATCAACATCAACAACAGAAAGGACGTGGATGACTGGGCAGCCATGCATACGACCTGTATACCCAGCGGCATTGCAAATGCGCCTGTCGTCAGAGAACCCGGCACTTGAGAACTGCCGGTGCATGCCAGGCTGAAGGCCACGGTTTGCTGATCATGGCATGGCATGACATACTCTCATCATAGACGTTAGGGGACTAACTTCTTAGATCAGCCATTTTCAAACCACTCCTTTTAAATAAGTCATTCATGCCCTAGCCTTCACTTGCTGCAGTGAATTAGCCCATTTTGTTTGTCACCTTTTCGGTGTTGAAAAGACTCTAGGGACGGCAAATGCACGGAATGGTCTATGCCAAGTTGCGCGACTAACTGCACTTTCCCAATTTACTTTCGGTATATCATTGACATATCACTTAAAAAACTTCCTAATTCTAGACTTACACTAGGTGTGATGCTACCCACCTGGTTTCTTTCAATGTGGATGAGCAATACTGCGACAACTGTGATGATGATTACCATTGTGGAGGCGTTTTTGACAAAACTGGACGAGGCCACCGGAGGTAAGTAGTGTTTTAAAACTAAGCCATGTTCCACTGTATGTGTTGCCTCTTTAACCATTTTAAAATTTTATGCCAGTTTGAGCACATAATTGCTCGTATGTTCCATCTTCTTACAGTCAGTCTAGGTGGACCGGTCGTGGAGAATGGGATGAGGTATGCTTCAAAGTAAATATATCGCATTTTAAACGATAATAAAAGCGGTGATAAGGCCTCAGACATCTCCATCACGCATTTCAGATTGCAGAGAAGGGATCGAGTGCGCATTCAACGCTTTTCCGCAGGAATCAGCCTGTCCGTTTGTTATGCTGCTAGCTGTGGCGGTATCGCCACCCTCATAGGTTCTCCGCCAAATACAATCTTTGATGGACTGGCGAGCAGGTAAAAAGACTCTCCTACGGGAGTAGTCTTAACTAATTTATTTTCGTTAAACATATCAAAAGTCTGCTAACAGCCAGACATTAAGTGATTCGGTGCTGAGGTTTTCCTGATACGGCCAGGTGAAATGAAGTCTTTCCTTTCCTGAATTCAGCCGATATGGCGATGAAATTCCGTTGAATTTCGGGATCTGGATGGCTTATGGTCTGCCTATTTCTCTACTCTGTCTCGTATCTACTTGGATTACTCTCTGTTTGGTATTTCTTGGACCCAGGTAAGTGCGAATATCGTTCGTAAAAGGCTGAGCCAAACTACTTAAAATGAATTCTAGCACTTGGACACCATTACCGCTAACAGAACCTCTGCCTATTCCCCCAGGAACATCTTCAAGTGCTGTCCGAAGAGAAATCATGACAGCTCGGACCACTTCCAGAGAGGATACTATGACAAACCAGTCCCAGCAAAAATATCGGCCAGAATGGAGAAATTAGAACGCACCGCCGGCAAAGAAGAGGGTGGAGAGGCCTCGTTAAATATCGCTTCCATCGTCAGAAGAATTTCTGAGGAAGAAAGACAGGCTCTAGGTCCTATGAAGTAGGTATCTGTAAAATGACGCTGGTAATATTTGCGGAGACCACTTTTAACATACCCACCGATCGCAATAAGTCAGTTAAGCTGAATGCAGTCCACTTTTTGTAAACAACTCCGTTATGAAACCAGTTTCGTAGACAATGGCAACTGTGTACTATTAGGCTTGAACCCGTGAGCGTCTTCAAATACACTTCGACTCCTACAATGTCATTACTAATACTCTTGTATATTCTGTCCACTTATTCTAGGTTCGGTGAAGTAGCGTGCACTATCCTATTCGTGCTGCTAATTGCCCTGTGGATTACAAGGAAGCCAGATGTGCCCGGATGGTCTCGTTTTATGCCGACTGGCAATGAATCAAGTGGAAAAACTGTGATGTACGCTGCATTTACTCCACTTAAACAGGATCTGACTCAGTAAACATCTTATCGACAGGGACAGGAGATGTTAATTCCCTTCCCATTTGCCGTCATCGCTTAGGTTGAAAGATTTGAATGCCCACGTACCATCCTTCAAAGAAGCCCTAGTAGCGAGTGATACTTTCACCTTCCTTCCCACATCTTCATTCAGACCTGGCAGTGTGGCCTAACCGGTCGGCCGTGAAGTTAAATGGGTAGCTAGGACTCGCTTATGACGGCGAATAGGCCAGAAGCAAGCTCTTCGGGACCCCAGTTTTTTTTGTAATGTCTCCCCTTTAGCAAATGCTGGTTAATATGCGATCGCCCGCGATAGGTCTCGGCCGAAGCCGCAACACAAGGCAGAATATCGTGCTTTGTCCTTCAGCTAGGCCAAACCGATTAAACCTCCCCCCGTGACTTTAACTGCACGGTTTGGTCAGTGGAACGTTCAGGCAGGCTAATAAAGTTTACTATATTGCCTTGCAGATACGTGACTGACACACAACCTACAATCCTCTTCGCCATCTTGGCTTTCATTATCCCCGCGTCAAATCCTTTTCGTCTTCGCAGCGATCCAAATGAAACAGGCAAGTTAGTTTTTTGAAAATGCGCTGGCTCATCTCTTTCTGAAAATGAAAAAAACGGTAAGATGCCTACTTTTTCTAAAAAGAAATCGCATTTTGCCGAAAAAATGATTGGAAAGAAATTTCCGTTTGTGTGTTTTTTAATAGTAGGGAATGTTAACTTGACAGACGCAAGACGAATCCAGCAAGCAGAAGTATGACCAAGGCTCCATCCAGTCATTAAACCAGTTGGAAACATTCGTCACCCACGGTGGGATTCCAACTCACTGCAGCAAACTCAAGACTTGAGTAGTGTGAACGTTCTAACAACCTGAGTTACGAGACTCCCACTGCGAGTCGTCGAGCTTTTCACAATGTAGTCGGATGAAATATTCATGTCTGCTAAGAACGAGTATTGAAAAAACTTCCGTTCTCCAGATCAGTCATAATTCACTGGTCTAACAAAAGGAGAGATAGCAATTGGCCATTACAGCAAAACCATTACTATCCGGCATGCCATCGGCTACAGGGATCTGTTATAAACAAGCTGGGTTAAAGCGGGCAGAAATTGTAGTGGCTCTTTCTCTTTCCCCATCATGAACTTTGATATTTCGTGAAATGAGCAGGCCATTCCCGGGTAGACTCGTGACGGCTATACTTTCAAGGTGCAGAGTCCGGTCTCGCAGTTCGCAATTTTCAAAGGTCGACCCCGATGATGGGTTAGGTGAACCGAGAGGTCATAAGAAATTCTTAAACTTGCTCCGACAACGGTATAGAGAAGGACCCCACCAAAATGTCAGTAGACTGTGGATCATGTCATACGAGGTTTTATACTGGCACACACTTGCAGGCTGTTGCAAAAATTATACTGCCAACAACGATTACTTCCCATGACCTCACACACTAACGGAACACCCGTTATTTTGTGAGGTTTACTTTTTGTTTATTGTCTATTTGCTACTGTTATATCCGTTGTCGTACAGTAGCGTAGGATAAGACTTTCGCATAAATCCAGGTAATTTCTGTGTTTTCTTTCATTTTATCAGCCTACTGTCTATCGTGCTGTCCCGCCCACAAAACTCCCTTTTCCATAAATCACGTATAGCACGATACGTGGAGTGGAGTCCGTCACTATACCGCTGCCCTTGCTATTAAGTGTTCGTATGGAATGCAAGACGCCATGGGCATATGAATGAGGTAGAGGCAATAAAACCACCTCTCCACTTGTTCATATTCGTCCAAAGGAAATTTGGGTTAGATCGCAGTTGGTAGCCAGACCCCGTATAACAGGTGGCTGGGGGTTTGCTTACTGGAGATATTTTGTGGGTTTCCATAATTACATCTGACCCAACTGGCTTCCGTTTTAGGCTTAAGGTTAGAATTAGGATAACAGTTAGTGGTTTCCGATTTTCGGATAAGGGTTATGCATTTAGACTTAAGTTTTCGGGTTACGGTTAGGGTTTGAGCGTACAATAAGGTTTCAGTATTAAGGTTAGGTTTTTCGGTTAGCGCTATGTCTAAGGGCTGCGGTTCCGTTTAAGATTTCGGTTAGGGTTAGGGTTGCCCTTAATGCTAACGGTTAACGTTTAAAGTTGAGGTTAGGGTTAAGGTTAGAAATAGGGTTGAGGTCGCCGTCCGCTTTCCCATTCCTGGCTACCAACTGCGATCCAACCGAAATTTGGGTCGGACACGGGAATAAACCCCTCCCCTCGGTAATATAATATGCCTCTCTATAAATTCCAGAGGAAACTATTCCTGAATCCTGACTTTAAGCCTAACCCTCCGAACTCCACCGGAATTTGGTGCAAGGCCACGTGTAATACGGGGGGATGGTCATAATCGTAGGTTGTTGAGGCGATCTAGTGTCACGTTTTAGTGGATCGAGGTGAAGGTTGAGGTAACATTCCGTGACACAGCCGTATTTGGACTTGAGGTGATGGAGTCTAGTGCGTCAAGACAGTCATGTAGACGGGCTGCATTCCGCACAATGATACAATACCTAGGGTAAAATAGGGACTTGTATGCGGCTCGTTAGACTTCATCAATGGCCCATCAGCCAGTTTAGTTCTTAATTGTCTTCCAACTAATTTATTGCGCAATCTCTCAGAAAACAAATTAGTGACACGATATTTTACAATGTTAGCTTCCTACGGTAACATTCCTACGGTAAACAATCATCAGAGTGGGCGCAGACGATAGAACCTTTCACAAAAATAGACCCCAAATCGCCCTTTTTCCAAAAGTGAAGGAGGGAATAAACTAAGGAATATATTGAAGTGAAAGTTCGGGCTATGAGACAGATCCATTTACCATTGGCAGTAACTAACAGCCTATTGAAATAATCATTCCCTTCCGTATTTCCTAATAGCCCTTTTTGAATCCGTTTTGCCAGCATCTTTCTCACTATCGTTTTCGCACTGACATGCTTTAACTACAAAAATACGGAAGGAAAACTGCTCTCTTGCTTTATCCTTCAGGACATACAGGAATATTTGACTCACATTTTGCAAAAATCCTCTCCAAAACGGAGAGACTTAGAGCGAACGAAAGAAGTGAAGTCGCCCGGAAAACCGAAGATTTCTCTATTTTCGAGGGGAGGAGGAGGGATATAACTGGGTGCGCGTATTTGTGCCCTGGCGTTTTAAGTAGGAAAGTGGACATCTGTCCTTCTAACGTGCAGAGCGTGCTCTCGTCGCCTGACACATTGATAGTCAATGACGAGTGTGAATGCGAAACGAGTCCCGTTTGTCCGTGATCCTTATCACTCCCCGTTCTTGTTGTCTGGGACGGCAAATATGGGTCCTACTGTCTCACATCGTAAATGGCTTTTGTCAGGTACTGGCGCACGACTGCTGTGGCCGCAGAAATTTCAGTGGGCAGACTGGATGGGCTGTCGATTGAAGGCCCTGTTTCATGCAGGTGCTTTGGCCTTTGATTGTCCCCCTGGTTCACCACTTCTACGACGTCGAAATTGAGAACTTGCTTGTCTGCGTGGAAGGGCTGGCTACCTGTGGCTCGGAGTCTGACCTCTGAACTGTCATCTTTTGTTCTTACAACCTTGTCCGTAGCTTTGGAGTCTACGAACAACGGCTGACTGCTTGAGGTTAGGAATGAGTTCTTTAAGGCTCATTACAAGCCTACGTTAGGTCTGTAGGCGATTCCTACTTCGAGTGTTACAGGAACTCTAAGCATTTCTTGAAAAACCTTCGGCGCGCCGAAAGACGCTCTATCTATGGGCGATGGACCTTCGGAGTGGGCTTTCTTGGAGACATTTGACTCCCCCCACGACTACATGCAGATACTGGCTGGCTCTGAGGAATGCCCGCAGGTGATTATTGTTTTCCCACTGGGCCGCTGGTGTTCAGAAGGGAGTTTTGACTAGACGGTGCACTATATGTATGTATGTTTGGTCGTTGGTATTGCGAGTCGACCGGAAGGCTCTGCCAGTTCACTGGTGCAGTGGAGAGGGAAGAGAGGGGAAGAGTAAAGCCGATACCATGGAACCCGCCGCCATAGCATATCAGTTCAATCTTCAATACAACGAACCTGACGCGCTGAGAGTCGGGACGTGGAAGCTCGCCAGCCGACAGGATAATTAGTTTTTTTCAGGGCTGACGGTTAGGCTGTAGTGGTTTTCTCGTAGCGTGGCCTTCATGGCACTCTCGCCCATGTAGGTCCTGAGTCTCCTTTACCGTAGGCAGCTACATGTGGAACGGGGACCCGCTCATGTGTGGCACGCGTAGAGAGGCTGTTCGGCTTTGTCAGTCACTGCTTTCAAGCCAACCTCTGCTCGTCTTCAGGTCGCCTTGACATCAAAGCAAAGTGGGTGGGAGAGGGGAAAATGTGACAGACACTGCGCAAGTCTGTCTCACTACGCAGTAAGTGGGCTAACTCATGAAATCCCAACAGAAATTCTGAAATGCGTTTGCGTTTCGAAAATTTTACTCAAGTAGGGGTTTAAAACCAATCATCGTGCGGCATAACTCTATAATAAGTCAGTTACCTCAAGATGCCGACTTTAGAATGAAATTCTTTCCCGCTGCATGCACAAAGTACACTCTGCAAAAAATGACTACTTAAGTAGCATGATTTTTTCTCATTGATTTTCGATGCCCCTAAATGTTCAATTATATTTCCTGAAAAACATGCATAAAAATATTCATTCCTTTTGCTCATTCAGTAGAAACTGACGTTTTCTTCCAATTTAACACTCGTAAGGACGGGTATAATTTGATTTTATGAAACTTTTACAATTCCCCAATAATTTTGAACCCGACCTGCCATTACACTCGCATTCAGGGTTCCAAAACTACAGGCCATATAGCCTCCGCGTACGGAAAACCACAAATTTCTCAATGGTGTTAAGAGAAGACCATATAGGGTTATTAAAATTAAGCAGTGGCTTTGAGCCGCATTGTTAACTTTAGAAGCCACATTGGTAAATGCAGAGGCATGGCGTTTTATGAAGGGCCATTTCAATGTATTAAAAAATCTCACATTTTGAAGCTTTCTTCAAACCGAATTATACTTTTCCTTCAAATGTAAAGTTAAAAAAAGACGTAGTTTTCTACCGTACGAATATTTTATGTATGTTTTCCACGAAATATAATGGAATTTTTAAGGGTATCGAAATTCAATGACAAAATGCATGCTACATAAGTGGCCATTTTGTACGGAGCATGTTTTGTGGATGCAACCGAAAAGACGTTTGTTCGAAAGTTGGCATTCTGAGCTAACTGATTTATTATAGAATTATGTTGTAGGCTGACTAGTTTTACAACTCCACTTAATTAATCTTTTCGAAACGGAAACTGATTTCGGCATTTCTGTTGACCTTTCATGAGTTACCCCACCACTGTCAGCTCAAATTATCGAGGCCTCGCCCACTTCATGGGACACTCGGCTGATGTCGTCGCTTGCGACGGTCAAACTGCCGTAGTATCGACTGCTGCTATGACTTAGTATTGTGCATCCCAAAAGTCCGACGGGAAAGGCTCCTGTTCCACCTATTCTGCCCACCTCATCTCAATCGATGTAGTTAGGGAAAAAATCAGCCAAACTGCTTACTCCCCATTTAACCTACCTTTTAGATGAAAACGCCCGGAAGAGGATAAACGAGAGCATCGTAACATGGGATCTTGTGCAGAGTCGCACCAGTTGGGGTGTCCTTATTCTCATGGGAGGAGGATTTGCCCTAGCTCAAGTTGTTTTCGTAAGTTGTCCAGAAAAACAATTGCAAACGATTGGTTACTTATGCGGTTTTCGTCCGACAAGCACTCCGTCCACCCTTTCTTGTTGCGACCGGTGGGGCGACAAACGGTGCAGAAGCTCCAGTTAGGAGGACGGATTAGGTGAAGACTTTGGTGTCATCCCTAAGTTTGTAAGCCAGATCAATCGTCAAAGTGCCCCCAAATCAGAGTGCCTCGAAGTGGCTTCTTGATCTGCAAAAAGGGCGGATGCCGGAAAGGCTTCGGTGCTATGAGGAAATGCTTTAAGAAACAGAACTACATCTGAGTTTTTTTGCAGTGGACATATGAATCAGAAAGCATTAAAATTCCCATTGCAAGATGGGTTAGGGCGAATTTCGTACACAAGAAAAGATACTTCTACCTAATCATGTTGCGATTATGGATACAAAATTCCCAAAGACGTTCCTTTCTTTTAAAATAACGTTAATTCGTGCGTCTTTTATTACGTTTTACGCCTGATGCACCTCTTTCTACTCCTAAAATTACTTTTTACTTGAATTTAGGAGTGTCAATTAGCACCTGAAGTACCATGAAACTGGAAACCACCCATAGCACGGGGCGCCTGTATTTAGGCAGTCCGGTAACCAATATAGCTGCCTGTCTATTGTCGCATTACTTCGCTGTGGCGCGGACAGTACTGACCTGGTTCAAAATATTAACGACTTCATTTAACGAAAAAAGGAGAAATTATAGTCTCTCCTTTCCACTTGATATCAACTTTGTTGCTACTCTTAGATGCGTTCGGTGCTAACCTCAATGACAGTCAATCTCTGTTTTTGTTCAGTCAGGACAACAGCATAACCGACATATTGAACTTCGTTTACACTTGAAAATGTTACCCTGCACGAAGCCCTTTCTGACAAATCGACTCGGCAAATCGGACTTTCCTACTGAGTTCAATTTCGATGCGAAAATAATTTCCGTCTGCGTTGTAATTAGTCTGCTACATTTATGGCATGTACAAACTATCTTTCAGCCATAATAGTTACTTACACATGAGGACAGTAGTAGACGGGTAAGGGGGGGGGGGGTTGATGAGCATATAAATAGCCAACAGCCCGCATATAGGGGTTTCACTGACAATTTTGCGTTATCTTACAAGCCTCAAAATGGCACGACTTGGATCAGGACTGGGAGTCTTAAGGCTGAACGCTGTTCCGTTAAGCGGACAGTGCTCAACCTGGGCTGGTACGAACACCAGGTCCCCTCTCCCACACTTCCGGTGGCCATCCAGACCATTCAGTGGGCTGGTTAAAATGCTGATTATAACACAAGGATCCCCTTCATACTGAGGTGTCGCAATGAACTACATTCCAGCACTCAAGGGAAATTTTCCGCCTGCGGCTACCAGAAATTAGATTTTTCTTACAATGGTTAAACTGCATGACTGCAGTCTGACTGTTTGGAGCGAAGGGCGGAAGTTATCGCCGCCCTAGTCCTCTCCACCGCATCCTTTCTAAATAATGATATTGACCGATCGTTATACTCCTTTGCTCTCTCTTTTTTCATGCCCACTTATACCACAACGCTTATACGTCTTCTCACTTCCCTAGGTGGGTGAGTTGTCAAAGGTTATAAGTGCGGCCCTAGACGGTGTTCGATCATTTGAGTCGTTCGGTCTCGTGTGCTTATTTACCTTTGTTGGTGCCACCTTGACCGAGGTAGTTTCCAACTCCGCTACGGTCACAATCCTCGTCCCCATCGCCTTTGACTTGGTGCGTCTATTAAATGTCTATATATACATGTACATATATGCACACTAATCACATACGCTTCACTTTCTTCAAATTGTTTATTTGTAAGAAACTGTGCAACTGTGCGGGATAGCGACCAGATGGTCTCAATTTAGCACGACTAACGATTTACTAATGAAGTTTGCCCCTAAAACCGAACACGCGGTAGATGCGCTGGAACAGCACAGGTACTAGATCGGCGTCGGAGAATGCGCACCAATAACAAATGCCACCATTCGGGGTGTGGTGGCAGAGTCAGATGCCGGATCAGATCGTGTCCACAGCATTTGTTGTGGTATAAAATACTGGCGCCTGTTGTGGACCAGGGGGTATGGTGGAACGTCTGGGTGCGGCTTTATGCCGTGACAGCCACCTGCGCCTTCGCCCGCCTCCGGTCTTCTTGACTTGATCATGATGCTGGACGCAAGTGGGGGAGGAAGCGAGAATGCGGTAGATGTTGCGCAAATCTGCAATTACTATAAAAGAAATCACGCACAGATCATCGTGCCTGCTCTCATCCTGATGCAAGGCACACGGTGAACATCGTCAAAATCGAAGTCAAACTGTCGTCATTTATGAAGTCTTCACGTTACGTCCTTATTTCCTGATGTCTTACAAAAGTGCAAAATACTTTTTCAGTAATCCTTGCTAGGTCAGAACAGAAAAATAATCACTCCTCTCAGTTCGAAATGCAGGCTGACTTGGTTATTACGTACCTGCGTTTTGAAGGCGTCTGTATTTGTTGATTGATCTCGGGAATGATTCTTTCGACAATAATTCGACCAAAAAAGACAAAGTTTAAAGTATGCCCATCCTCCTTACTTGCTTGGTGGTAGCTTACGCGGTAAGATGTGGTGATGTAGCCCAACCAGATGGACACAATACTGTTGGGGTTAGAGTAAGCGGTTAGGGTTAGAGGCCAGGGTTAGGGCTAGGGGCTAAGGCAACAATTTCTCAACCACTGAAAGTACAACCACGCACTCTCAATAGCTTTTCTTTTGCATACAACTACTTGAGTTCGCCGCCTGTGCGTTCACCGACCCCACCTGCAAAAGCCCCAATTATCACCGGTCCGTATTACAGGCGGCTGGAGTCCGTTTACTTCACGTGGGGCTGCATAACCACATTTGACCGCTTGGGTCATGCAGCCGCAGGAAAAGACAACTTAGTAACTTTGAATAAGAAGGGTTTAGTTCCATTGTTATGGTGGAACATTTAATCGTAAAGACAAGATTGAATGCTTGGACAATTAAGGCCTTCGTAGAAAATGCTCAGCCTAGAAAAAGTACACAACGCGAGTGTGCACACCCGTAAAATCTCAGCACGATATGCCCGAAATAAAGAAAGACCTTTAATTGTAAAACTGAGAGCCGCTTTGAGTAACCTTTACTCTGAGGTTAACCAATACAACCAACCTCAACAGTAATTTTGACCAGTCAAGAGCAACGTCCCAGGACTCCATGTGGTCCTGCCGGGAGTGGAGGTGCTAAACATGGCGCGGAGAACTCATGATCGCAGTGTTACTGGTGTGGTGGACGACATCACATCAAGTTTTGTGTGGCGAAACTGGCGTGCCACAAGCCCTGCTACCTGCAATCTATACTTACGTTGTCATTACCTAATTTATTTGGGCTAACGTCGGCTTTGGGTTATTTACTTTCGACAACACTATTCCTCACAGTAAATGGCATGAAGTACAGTCGTTCAGCTGACGTTTGGCTATCAACCAAGAAAAGGATGCAGTTGGAAGTATGCTTTCCGTATTTACTTGCTTTGGGGTAGATTGCGCCATACAACCGTATGAGAATAAACGCACTAGTTAACATTACTGAAAATTTACGTTTATTAACATGGCACAAAATTTAATCGTGGTGACATACGTTTATAGGGACTAGGTTCAGTACTTATACGATTAAGGGCTTCGTAGCGAACACAGGATTTAGAAACTTGCACGCTGATATGGAATGGCATTATTGGGGTGATTATCCCGCTGGTACCGGTTTCACAGAGATTATGGGCAGAATTGAACGATGATAGAATGATGCTCGTTGATAGCGTTACGAGATTCAATCGTCCAGTTGTGCCTTAGGGCTATATCTCGGGCCCAAATAACAGCCGCACAGCGGCGCGTAATATGGGCAGAATAACATTGCCGACAAAGACAAGGGGAATTTGAATCGCCATTTCTGGCCTATCAGCCGTCGGAAGCCAGGCATACCCAAACCCATTGTGTGGTACACCTGGGGCTCGATCAAGCGACCCGCTGGTTAGAAGTCCAACGCCACTAACCACTGAGCCGCGAGCTCATTTTCTTGTCCTTTGTGACCGGGAATATTCAATGGCAGAGGGACGCTCCTCGATCGTATTACGGAACTTACTCGTCCCGTTGTGCCTTAGACCTCTCTCTCGAGCCCAACCAGCAGCCGCACAGCGGCGCATGATATGGGCAGAATGATATTGCCGACAAAGACAAAGGAGACTAGAATGGCCATCTCTGGCTTATCAGCCGTCGTCAGCCAGGTATACCCGACCCCGAGGGGTGGTACACCTGGAGCTCAATCCCACGACCTGTTGGCTAGGAGTCCAACGCCCTAACCACGTGAACAATTGCGCTGGAGTGGTTTCGGCGTTAGCGGGTCCACCGAATACAGTGCAGTTTGGGGTGGCTGTGTTTTAGTGAAAGCATTTCTGGCATTTACTTAAGCTTGATTAGGCAACGACTGTGGAATAGGGTTCCATTTTACGCTCTCCAAGTTGCTTTGGCTTTTAACTCCAGAAGATAACTGTACTAAACAGAAAATGTCTATTTTTAGGCCGAATCCATTAACGTCCACCCCTTCCTACTGAGTCTCCCGCTTACCATTGCAACTTCCCTTGCATTCATTCTTCCCGCTGCTACGCCACCGAACGCGATCGTCTACTCCAAGGGACGTGTTACATTACTTCAGATGGTACGCACTGAACTCGTCAATGCCTCTGATTGCTTACTTGTTGTGCCACCCGGTTCGTCTCTAAACAGACGTTGATTGCGATTCTATCGTTATTGACCGACCGACGGTAATAGTCTTATTCATTTATGATGGCAAAAAAGTTAAAAGTATTAAAATGGTGCCATGGTGATCAAAAATTAAATAGTGTACAAAAAGGAATGCTGGTAAACATTAACCGATGATATTTTGCTGAAATCTAATGTCCCTTTTCCTCTTTTCAACAAAATCTCCCCTCCAGGCGAAGGCAGGAATCGTCCTAAACATCGTCACGCAACTTATTGTCGTTGCATGTACCATGACCTACGGAAGGGCTCTGTTCCAGATGGACAAAATTCCTTCCTGGGCCTGACATCACGCTGAAAGCCCGCTTCCGCGCAACCATTAGAACTGACTGCCACATTCTGTCCCTTTAAAGATGTGATTTTTGTCATAGAATATTGTGAGATTTCGAACACATGCCTGATTTTCACAATATGAATTTGAGTGTCGTCTTCACCGAGAAAAGACTTTCATTTAGTGCTAGTTCAGCGTTAAGACCGAACTGTTAAAATGTGTGAAACAATTATCCTAACCTGAAAATTTAGCGACTTGAGAGGTAAAAGGTTTTTTGCCAGAGTATGTTTGTGTGGAGTTTGGCCTTTCAAATGACGCAGTTCGTCGACTGTCCGCATTCGTGTTACCCAACCACATGCATTCAGCTTCATTGGTAGACATGCAGTACCCCTATCGCTTTTAGATGGAAAACAGGCAGGATCCTAGAGTAGGAATCCCCTTCGTAATTCAGACGACCTTGCACCAAATTTCAGGAAGGACGCCTATTCCCGTGTCCTAACTCTGACACTAACCTTGACTCTAACCGAAACACTGCCCACAATATTCCGCAGGGAAGGAGGAGATTGCCTTTTCCGGGTCCTATTAAAAATCTACGACGAAAATTGTCGCGCGAAGTCGGGGTAAAGATTATTCAGGGCGACTTCGTACGTAATCATTCGACATGTAGACTGCAGAACTCGTTTTGAACATTTCTCATTTGCCAAGAACACTTGCTCCATTTCAATGGGTTTCATTTGGAAAAAAAGACTTTTCATTTCATACGCCTATTACGTAAAGTGAAGTTTCTGAAAATAAAAAGGAACTTTGCCAAGGGGGTCTTAGCAGTAGATAGAGTAAGGCTGGGAGAGAAATGTTCTCTTTTGTTGTCTCTTCAAATGTTTATGAACAGGGAAGGTAAACGTTTAAGGGCGAAATTGACATTTGTGTTAACCTTTCTCGCTATTCATAATAGTAATTGTCATAAAGAATAGTAAAAATGCGATTTCCAGGTGGCATATCAAAAGAAGAGGAGACCCTCACTGGGAGGGATCTATTAGCGGTCTGCCGGCGACGCCGTCGACTATCTCCGCGGCTGTTGAGGGCGGGGGCGATTCAGGCCACGGTGACATGCAGGACGGATGCAGCCGCCACACGGGCGGCATCGGCGGGCCACGCATCAAAGTGTGCCGTATAAGGAGAGCTGTGAGCGTGATTTCCCAGTCTCTGAAGGTGGGTACACGAAGCTACTACGCGAAACGTCAGACTAGTAACGAATCCCTCCCAGTGAACGCCTCCTCTTCTTTTAATAATAGTTGTGTTAAATGCACTTTACAGAATGGAGCCCATTTTTGTTGAAAATTTTGAATTTATGATTTCAAAATAAAGCAATTCCTCTCTTTCTCTCTCACATATTGGCCTTGAGTAAACACAAATACAGTAGATGTGCTAACTCATGAAATGTCAACCAAAATTTCAAAATGCGTTCTCGTTTCGAAAAGATAAATTAAGTAGTGTTGTAAGACTAATCATCCTGCAGCATAATTCTATAATGATCCAGTTACCTCAAGGTGTCGGCTTTCGAAAGAACCTATTCCCGACTGCATACAAGATCTATACTCTGTAAAGATGACTACTTAAGTTGTATGCAATTTTCTCATTGATTTTCGATGACCTTGAAAATTCAATTATATTTCATGCATAAAAATATTCATTCTCTTACTTCTTCGGTAGAAAATCACGTCTTCTACCAATTTCATGCTCAGAAGAAGAGTATAATTCGCTTTTAAAAAGGTACTAATTGTGAAATTTCTCAATACCGTTAAATGACCGTTCATAAAACGTCATGTATCTGCATTTACGAATGTGGCTTGTAAGGTTGACAATATTGCTTAAATCCACTGCTTAATTTTATGAACCTCATGTGGTCTCCTCTTAACACCGAAGACAAATGCATGGTTTTCCGTACACGGAAAATGTACGGCTTGTAGTTTGAAATCCTGAATGCAAGTGTAACAGCAGGTCCGGTTCAAAATTATTCGGGAATTTAAAAAGTTTTTTAAAACCGAATTATACTCCTCTTTTGAGTATGAAATTGGAAGAATACGTGATTTTCTACCGAATGCGTAAAAGAATGGATATTTTTATGCATGTTTTCCATGAAATATGATTGTACTTTCAAGGGCATCGAAAATCAATGAGAAAATTGCATGCTACCTAAGTAGTCATTTTTTGCAGAGTATAGATCTTGCATGCAGCCGAAAATAAGTTCCTTCGAAAGCAGACATCCTGAGGTACCTGGATCATTATAGATTTATGCTGCATCGTGACTAGTGTTACAACACTACTTAATTTATCTTTTCGAAACGAGAACGCATTTCGAAATGTTGGTTGACATTTCATGAGTTAGCACATCTACTGTAGTTTTTTGCATGAACTAGTTTCATGGTCTATTGTCTCACTTTTGTAGCTTAAGGAGTCGAAAAGTAGGCTGGATCGCAGTTGGTAGCCAGCCCCCGTATTGCAGGTGGCTGTGGGTTTGTTAACTGGGGTCTTTTTTGTGGGGCTGCATAATCACATTCCCTTTTTATGTTTGAGATTAGGATTAGGGTACCGGTTAATGGTGTCCGATCTTCGGGTTAGGGTTATGCCTTTTAGGCTTAGGTTTTTGGGTTACGGTTAGAGTTTGAGTGCACGATTAGGGTTGGATATTACGGTTTTGTTTTACAGTCAGGGCTATGCCGATGGGCTACGGTTGCGTTTACGATTTCGGTTAGGGTTAGGGTCAAGGTTGCCGTTAGGGTTAAGGGGTAACGTTTGAGGTTAAGGTTAGAGTTAAGGTTAAGATTAGGATGTACGACAATGGTTTATTTTTTAAGGCAAATGGAAGGTGAGTGCACGGTTTTGAACGTATGCACTCCCGATCAGAATAGAACTTAGCAAACAAAAGAACGCCATTTGGTATCCCCAGTGTCCCCACACTTCGGGGTTGAGTAAGGCGGGCTGCTGGTGCCTAATAAGCCAGAAGTTGCCATCGCAGCCTTCCTTGCCTTACGACAATTTCAGTCTGAGTTCTATAGTATTTGTGGGGAACATAACGAGTTGTATAGGCGGAGGAGGTAAGATATTTGGGATTTTTCGCGGAAAATAACCTCGTAAATGTGTTGACGAAAAGTTAGTAACAGATTGAGCCGATCCAAATGAGATTGGCACGCCTTGTTTAAGGTTTTCGTCGTATAGAAAATTCAGTTTAAGGGCTGTTAAATGTTCACTAATTCGTGAAAAGTTCACACTTTGGAACACTGACTTCTGAACGAACTTCTTTCTGGCCGCTTTCAGAAACTGTACGCCGTAAAAGTGACTACTTATGTAGTATGGATTTTCCTCACTTATTTTCGATGACCTTATAAAGTCAAACATATTTCATAGAAAACATGCATAAAAAGGTTCATTCTTTTACTCATTTGATAGAAAATCATGCCTCTCTTAAGTTTTATATTTAACGGAAGGGTATAATTCGGTTTTAGAACAGTTTCAAATTATAAATTTTTTAAGACTACGAAATGCCCGTACATAAATCATCGTGTCTCCGCATTTACGAATTTTGCTTGGAAATTTTACGATATGGCTCAAATTGACCACTAAATTTCATGAACCTAATATGGTCTCCTTTTAAGAGAGTATGGAAGTTTATGATTTTTCCTACGCGGAAGATATACAGCTTGCAGTTTGGAAACCCTGAATGCAAGTGTAACGGCGGGTAGGGCTTAAATTATTCGGGAATTGGAAAAGTCTTCAAAACCAAATTATCTGCTTTCGGCAAGTATAAGATTTAAGGAATACGCACTTTTCCACCAAGTAAGTAAAATAATGAATAATTTCACGCGCGTTTTCTTTAAAATAAGCTTGAGTTTACCAAGACTTTGAAAATCAATGAGAAAAATCCATACTACATAAGAAACCACTTTTACCGAGTGCGGTTTCTGCAGGCGACCAAAAAGATGTTCGTTCAAAAGTCGGCATCTCAAACTAGCTGAAATATCTTGGGATTATGCTGAATGACAATAAATGTCACAACCCTACCTAAGTAATCTTTTTGGAGGAGAAAGACATTTCAGAATTTCGGTTAACATTTCACGAGTTAGCGCATCTACTGTATTTTAAAATCCGTGCTGTCCAGACTTGGATAATAAAGTGTCGGTCGAAGAGAAGGTTGTTGAACGTACAGGACCACTTGTGCTAATTCGTGCACTCTTACGGGAAACAAGAATCCACCATTGTGGAGCTAAGTTGTTAAGTTGTCAGGGTATTCATTAAACGCACAAGTAGCCGTAGGTCCTTCCCGACATTTCGCGTAAATATTTACTTCGGGGGCGTCTACAGACTCTTTGAAGACCCAACGGTGTGCTTTTAAAGCTGGCTGAAAGTGTAAATTGTACGTCCCGGGGACCAAAACAACGTGGGTCCTACTGGTTGATAGAGTTTGCACTTAAGAGTCCTGTTTGTTTACGAAACTACCGCACACAGATCTTGTCCTTTTGTTGTTACGAGCCAACCGACGGAGGCCCTTCGTCTTCTGACCGGCGGCTACCGGATCTCGAGTTCTTTTCGCACGACAAGAGCTGCGCTGCCCAATGGGGCATATGGAACTAAGCAGCCCATGAGCCTTCAACTGCTTGTGAGATATTTTAGACTCTGAACTTGTTACTGTTTAGCAAGCAACTGCATTTCGTAATTAGGCAATTTTCAAGCAACTGGAATGAACACACTAGATCGCCTGACAAAAGTCCGCCGACGAGAAATCATATCTGTTTTGCAGGTCAGACTTTCACTGAGTCGCATGTGTTTCGCAGGTGCATATAATGAAATGTTCTATCAAAGTATTCTATCACAGATGCAACTAGTAGGAGCTGTTAAATGTTCATTTGAAGGAAATTCTACGAAAAGATTTGGCTTTTTATTCGTGTAGTTTGATGTATGTATCACTTAATACCCCTCATTCGAGGCAGGTGATAAGTAAACCTTAACTGAAGGATGAAA